ATGAACAGCTTCATACAATCCCATACGTTCTATTTTGACACATAGTTACCGCCTAGCGTTTTCGCGTCCGTGCGAACGCTCGCTAAGAAAGCAAGATTTTTATGGTAACGGTAATTTTGACATTTGCAATTGAGAATTTTACAAATGTAAATAGAAAAATAAAGTTTTTATGATTTCATGTATAAAAAAACGGACGGGTAGTTCCTGTTTGTACTAAAAATGTTAAGTTAACTTGTAATTGCATAAATAGTATTGATATCTATTAAATAGGACTTTATTCTAATGTTTTATACAATCTGTAAAATAGAAAATGTTATATAATTAGTAGTCTATGTTTTCTTCCAGACTATCGTCTACATATCTGCTAAATTTATTCAATATCTGTTCAGTTTACGAGGTACATTCGAACAAACATCCATCTTAAGCATTAATGATATTAGTAACATGTTTCCTTCTTTTAGGACCGTCAAATCTTAGCATGTGCACCAACAGGGTCTGGAAAAACAGCGGCCTTTTTGTTACCATTGTTTCACATATTGGGAGGAGCACAAGGGGGCCCCAGAGCTCTTATCCTGTGCCCTACAAGGGAACTGGCTCAACAGATATACCGTGAGGCTCTACGGCTGAGTGCCTCCACCTCATTACGGTGTTCAGTCGTTAAGAATGTTAAAGAAGGCAAGATGAAAGAACGTGAAGCAACTATAAAGAAAAGTGGTAAGTAACACTTTGGTTCCAATTTGTTTGTTTAATAAATTTCATGTATGATGGGAGTGAAATATGTTTTTTTTTTCCAGATATTGTCATAAGCACTCCAAATCGTCTGTGCTACTTGCTTAATCAGGATAATGTAACAATCTCTTTGGACAAGTGAGTTGGTTTGAGTATTAGATAAAAAAATAAATCTCTTATGAAGTAAATTTTACTAAACCTATTTGTCTAATGTAACTGAACCTTATGTTGAATTTTGTTTTCTATGAGTAATTTAACAAGTGCAAGTAACATGTATAATATGTCTTTATTATGTTTTTTTTTGTTTGCAGTATGTAATAGTGAGCATTACATACTGCAAACAAAAAAAAAAGACAGTTTTAACTGAAGCATTGAACTGTTTAGTTACAGTTTTGTTTAAACGTACAGTTAACTAATCAATACGACAGCTCAGTTAAAACTGTTAGCGCTAAGCATATGTAATGGGCTTTATATTTATTATACTAATAGTTTAAAAAGGAAAGATTTCAATGTATTGATATAACTCAAAAACTACTGGTCCGATTTGAAAAAACCTTACACCATTAGAAAGCTATGTTATCTGGGATTAACATAGGCTATTTTTTAATGTCACGGCGAAGTCGTGAGCAGCTAGTGTATCATGTATTCATACATATGTCGCAGGAAGCTATAAATTGATTGTTGCTTTATGTGTAACAAACATTATTGTCTTACGTTTTAATATTGTTTAAGATAATGTTATCAATTTAATTCCTTTTTTCTCGAAACTAGAAACTCGATGTCATTTGTATTTAGTTCTTTTTAAAATTAAAAGTACGTCAACTTGCATACGACCAATGAGAGCAGAGCAAGCGCCTCGAGTGGCCCTTATTAGCTCGAGCGGGGTCGAGGCGCAGTTCAGTGCTTAGAGGGCGGCGTTTGTAGTGACATGTTGTGGCGCGTGTTGGCAAAGTGGCGAGTCGATTGAGGAAAGTAGTGTAGTAGAAGTACGAACGGTGCCACGAACCCGCTGCTCGGTCGGTGTTGTTGATTTGCTATTTGATAAGTATAGATTCTGAATTATATTGTGTTAATCCATGTCTCTAGTGTTTTAATGCTCGCACTTCACCCAAATAACGCCCACGAAACCAAGACTCGGTAACAATGATGTCGGGGAGAAAGACCCAACTCCGACACATATTTTTGTAGACTGTTGTTATTCCTACAGATAACTGATTGATATATGTTTAGGGTCCGATGGGTGATAATCGACGAGGCGGACAAGATGTTCGAGGGTAGCGAGGAGGTGGCGGGCGACTTCCGGCGCCAGCTGCAGCAGGTGCTGGCGGGCTGCAGCGCGCCGCGCCGCCGCCTCGCGCTCTTCAGCGCCACGCACACGCCCGCGCTCGCCAAGTGGAGCCGCCGCAGCCTGCGCGGCCTCGTCGCCGTCACCGTGGGCCACAGGTATGCATAGACAGTTAATATTACAAACCTTACATTGTATTCAATGTGGAAGGGTGCTATAAGTCTGCGAATTACATTCTGATAAGCTTTTAAAAGTTTAAAATCTTCGGTTTTTTTTTTTGAAAAAGACACGCTAAGAGCGACAGTAACTAGAAATTATAATTGTTGTAGATATCGCTTTATCATCTTCGCATTTTTTAATGTGTCACTCATTGATGCATTACGCAAAACCATGCGGCAAGTGGAGTATATTTCGTATAGCATTTTGTCATACGAACCCTGTGGTGAAGGTAGGCAAAGCAAATGCGTATCATCATACTTCATAATAATATTATAAATGCGTAAATTTAGATGTATGGATGGATGTTTGTTAGAGTTTGTAGCCTAAGCTGCTGAACGGATTTCGATGAAATTTGGTATAGATGTAGAGGATAGTCTGGAAGAACACATAGGCTACTCAATTTTCGTTAAATTCCACGCGAACGGAAACGCGTGGGAAAGCTAGTATAGATATAAATGTATAGACAGTGGCCGCTTCGCTATTTTGGTGATTTTCAGGGGCCGTTTGCTCGTTTGTTGAAACAATAATAATGTGTGTAGGAACGCGGCGTCGCAGCTGGTGTCGCAGCGGCTGCTGTACTGCGGCAGCGAGCGCGGCAAGCTGCTGGCCTTCCGCCAGCTCGTGCAGGCCGGCCTCAAGCCGCCCGTGCTCGGTAACTATACACTGCCCATCTGCCCATTATGTCTTATGTCTTCTTGTTCCTTTTTCCTAACCAAAGTTACCTAAACTGTTAAGTGAACTGGTGACTACAGTAGAACCTCAATAACTCAAACCTCGGGAACTTAAAGACCTCTATAACTTCAAAAAATAATTTGTTCCCTTCCCATCAGAGCCAAAACTTCTACAACAAAGACCCTTGATAACTTAAAACCTCTATAGGTTAAAGTATTTTGTGTTTCCCTTGGACTTCAACTAATCGAGGTTCTACTGTAATTATGAAAGCGGAATATTTTTCCACTTTCGTAACAGTCAGGGTGAGTATACGTTTTTTATTTTCCAGGCATTTACTATTACAAGTACTATTGTTTCTTCACACTCCAAATAGTGACTGTGTGGTGGCCGAGTGACATTGCCGTGTGGTTTCAGACAGAGTAATATTAGTGGTTCGATATTTTTGCGTGACGGAAGCCTAACTAGAGAAATATCGAATTAAAATATAAAAACCGCGGCCAAACATATAATTTCAATAAGATTTATATTATTTTACACTAGCTATTTGGTCTTGAAATCAATATTTGATCGATTTAACATGGAATTGATGGCATAAAACAAGCAAAGTGTATCCAAGATAGCACAAAAACTTAGTAGTAGGAAGCTACAGTTTCCGCAACTCTACGGCTAGCGCATATTTTGCACAAAAACTTGCCTGATTACGAAAGTGGGAAAACATTCCACTTTCATAACGAAATAGCGAAAAAAATCTTTTTACTAACTAACTGGCTAGGTAACTTGGTTAGGAAAAAGGAGCGAGGGTTCTCTTGAACAGTTACAACGGCAATGTGGTAATCAGGAATGTGTGCGCAGTGTTCGTGCAGAGCAAGGAGCGCGCGCGGCAGCTGTTCGCGGAGCTGCTGTACGACGGCGTCAACGTCGACGTCATACACGCCGACAGGACGCAGGCGCAGGTACACACACACACACACACACACACACACACACACACACACACACACACACACACACACACACACACACACAAAATCATACTAATATTATACATTTCCAAATTTTGATGGATGGATGTTTGTTAGGATTTGTATGCTAAATTGCTGAACAGATCTCGATGAAATCTGGTATAAATATAGAGGATAGTCTGGAAGACCACATAGGCTACTTACTTTTTTTTAATTCGCGGACGTAATCGCAGGCGAAAGCTAGTTGTGGTGTTATTCGATTTGTCTTTTTACCAAAGATTCAAAATATATATAGAGGAGGCAGAGTTGACACTTTGCTTGATACATTTTTCATATGTCATGCATCTATTGATAACGTCATTATTTTTTTTTATAACACTGTTTAGTTAATTCTATAATGAAAGATGGAGCTTATTATAATTTTGTAGAATGTTCCATCAAATGTCAACAGGAACAAGGCACTAAACTTGACAACCAACATAGTACCTATCAGAGAAAGTACCGATGTCAAATTTTATTCTGTACGCCTTGTCGATATATTTTTAAATGTCTTTTCCCGGAGTGTCATATAACTATATTTAGTCGGTTTTTGTCTTCAAACAATCAATAATGTTATGTTTTCGTTGTGCAGCGAGACAACGTGGTGCGCAGTTTCCGCGTGGGGCGCGTGTGGGTGCTGATCTGCACGGAGCTGATGGGGCGCGGCATCGACTTCCGCGGAGTCAACCTCGTCGTCAACTACGACTTCCCGCCCTCCGCCATCTCCTACGTGCACAGGTACACTCAGACCATTACAAGGTGTTCCACTTACACAAAATGCGTCACAAAACTAAGTCCTTATTGAACTAAATGTACAGGCGGACCCTTGCAAGGTGTACCACTTATAGAAAAGTTGGTCACATGACACATTTATTCAGTAACCATTGTATTAATTGTACATTCAGACCCTTGCAAAGCACTCTATTTACAGAATTATTGCCTGATTCCTAGCAATGAGACAAACGTCTTTTACAAATAATCAATTAGACAATAGTGAATTTCACAAACAACGTTATTATGAAACAATTATCCGTGTGTCGCTAACTTGTTCTATTTCTTACAGATATTTAAAAGATGCGTGTTATTAGTTGTTTTCCCCGTTCTGTGTGCGAAAGGTTCAAACGATTATTGTTTTTAAAGTGTACTACCGTCAGATTCCCTGATAGTACATCTGTGCCTGTGTGCGCAGGGTGGGGCGAGCGGGGCGCGCGGGGCAGCCGGGGGAGGCCGTCACATTCTTCACGCAGGAGGACGTCGTCAACTTGAGGAGGTAAGTCTTCACAAAAAACAACTCAAAGCTCTTTTTATATGACATCACATTTTATTTGTAATTGCAAAATTGTATTCAAATAGGAATAATGTGAATTATATTAAGACAATCGAAGGAACCGACTCGTTTAGCTAGTTTTAGTTTACGGAAAAAACTATATTGAATATGCCAAATGTCAGGTCCGAGATGCATAGTTAGGGGAAATATCCTCTCTGTTCCTCTATTGATTGTCTATGGGCAGCGATTGCTTCACTTTTCCCTAATTCTTGTTTGCTTGTTTGTGATGTTATAGTATTTAAATAGGATTATTCCCAACCATCACCCGCTCTGTCCCCACGAGGGGACAAATGAGAATAATATGTTTCATTCGTCCCACCTTTTAGTCTCACTATCACAAATAAGATGACAGCTAAAATTAAAAACGGCTCAACTCACGTTTTTATCCTCCGGTGACGAGACCAACCAGTCTCAGACCCTTCTGGGGTCCTTCGGGGCGAGTATTAGTTATCTTTGTTCGTGGTAAATTTCGGCCTGATGAAGGACCCCCAAGGGTCTGAAACTAGGCGGTGCCGTCACCGGGGGATAAGAACGTGAGTTGAGCCATTTTTAATTTTCGCTCTCAGCTTACTAGTGATAGTGGGACTAAAAGGTGGGACGGATGAAACTTTATTCTCATCTAACCCCACGAGGCGACAGAACGCGGAGACGGTTGGGAATAATCGTAAAAATGTGTGTACAGTATAGCGTCAGTGCTGGCGCAGTCGGGCTGCGCGGTGCCGCAGTACACGCTGCAGCTGCGCCGCCAGCGCGCGCGCGCCCGCCGCCGCCAGCAGCACGCGCCCTCGCGCGAACACATCGCCACCGCGCTGCACACACACAAGTAACGCACTAATACTACAATTATACTAAATACGAGCTATCGACCGCAAACTTTGTTAGCGGGGAATTAAAAAAAAATGGTCGTCTATAACATTACCAACTACAATCCAAGGTCCTGACCGAATCGGTCCACCCGTTCCAGAAATAGCGGTCGCCATTTTGACAGCGCAGAATTTAAAAAAATGTAGCCTATAATATGCTATGTCAGCTACCCTTCACTAAAGTCTGATCGAAATCGGCCAATCCGTTTCAGAGATTGCCCGGATCAAACGCGGCTTGCAGACAGACAGACAAAAAAAAATTAATACACCATCTTCCTGAAATCTGGATTTTTTCCTTTGATTCTACAGACACTCAAATTTTATTATATGTATAGAAAGAAAAGAAAACTTGATAATTTGTATAATGTTTCAGGAGGAAACTTGAAAGTGAAAAGGATGGAAATGATCAAGAAAAGACTAAAAACACAAGTAATGTGAAGGATGCTAAGAACAGAAAACAGAGAAAATTGTCAAATACAGAACTGACAGGAAAACATCGTAACAAAGAAGCTAAACTAAAACCTAAACAGAAGAACGATAAAAGCAAAGATGGCGGACGAAAGAAAAACAAAAAGATAGATAAAAAAGAGAAGAAACTCAATAAGAGGAAAAAGAAAGCATTTGTAAAACCCGCGGCCTCTAGTTAATGAAATAAACGTTTTTACTCTTATAATAAACGACTTATTTTTCACTAGTATAAGTATTTGCACTTGACTTTATCCACTAGTATTTTTTAAAAAACTAGGTATGTTCTATAAAAATCGTCCCAGTAGTTTTTGCGTGAATCAAATACATACAAAAATACAAATCTTTCCTCTTTATAATATTAGTATAGACATAGATGAGCCAGTAACCTAGTGTAATGGTGAAAGATTTTTTGAAATTGCCCCAGTAGTTTTTGAGTTATTTTAATACATACAAAAATAGAGAAATACAAATCGTTCCTCTTTATAATATTACTATATATGTAAATATGTACTCTTTAAACTTTTATATTATTTTTCTTTTGTTTTTTGTTTCTATTTATATGGTTTATAGATTTGTATATGGTTACTAACTTTCGCCCGCGACTCTGTCCGCGTGGAATTAAAGAAAACAAAAGCGAATAGCCTATGTGTTCTTCCAGACTATCTCCTCTACATCTATGCCAAATTTAATCGAAATCCATTCAGCCGTTTAGGCTACAAACTCTAACAAACATCCATCTAAACTTTCACATTTATAATAGTATGATTAAGGGACATGCTCTAAGTAACCAAAGTCCCTATGAAAAAAGGGTAAAAAATTAAAACACATACAAATGCTTCATAATTTATTCGATTATGCAAAATCAAAAATAAACATACAAAATATACAGTCTTTATTGCAATATATACAAATATGCTTTAAAACTCAGCTGCGAGCCGATTGTATATGGCACCCCATGATTTTTATACTAAACTCTATAAAAGTCCCCTTGAAAATAACACAGATATCTTAATATTAAGTTTAAGCCTCTTTTATATTATAAACTACGCTTATTAACTAAAAAAATAGTTTAAAGTTGGTTTCTTGCAAATAATTTTCGAAATTGGTCGAAATTGACTTAGCGTATTCGCTACAGTCTTTTCGGAGTAAAAAATGTATTTTAAACTAAAATTATCATTTGATTATATAATGTACATTATTATGCATTTTTCCTCATAAAGACACGTTTAAGAGATTCTTAACTAAAATATACAAAATGTAAAAATGGCAACAATTTATGTCTCATATACAAATCATTTTATATAAAAATAGCAAGATTTATTTACAAATAATATAACCTTCCATTTACAATAACACCAGCTGTGGAAGCCCATTTAATTGTATTATAAGGAATAGTAGACATTTTTAGTGTGGCATCATTTCCGACATTATTTAAAGGCCGCCATCTTTGAAAGTCGGGCATTCGCTCGCTGGCTCTGATAGCGTTAAGTCGTGTCAGTGTTCGGTACATTTTGAAGTTGCAATTGTCATAAGTGGTTGATTCTTTGTTCCGCCTAGTTATTATTATAAAATTATTTTAAAACAGATAGATTTTGTGTCCAATCAAATAATAAAGTTGTTCGCCATCTTGTAATTCTTTTTTTTTTTAATAAAATTCGTTCGTAGTTGCTAAAAGTATACTAATTAGTAGAAAAATTGAATGGAATGGAAAAAAAGGTTGGCAACCACTGATTTCAGGACAAACATTTGTAATAAATACGTAGTTGTCAACCTTTTCGATTTTGAAAATGTATTTTAATTTATATGCGAAATTATCTATCAAGTTACCTCCGAGCTGAAGTATTGTAAATGGAGTGTAATAAAACTCCCCTGGCCGGTTATTTGGCATAATTAATTAAATTAAACTTAACTAAAATTAAAATAAGCCTAACTACGATGTCTTTAAATGGCGCTTTATAACACAATAAGCATTTGCGCTTGATTATACAAATTCATCATAAATAAGCCCATTGAGAGACTTGTGATCAACGTTTATAAGAAATAATTACACAAATATATAAAAAGGTTTTAAATTGATTTAGTAAATATCAAAAAATAGATTTTTTTTAAAACTTTTGTGTATAAAAATATAAGAAAAAGATGTCAAATGATTATCACGACGATTGAGAGAGTGAGTGAGTAAGTGAGGTGAGGTGAGGTGAGAGAGTTAGGGAGATGAGATAAGGTGAGTGAGTGAGATGAAGTGTTGATAAGTGAGTGAGATGTGGTGGTGAGTGAGTGGGGAGGTGGGGCGAGGTGGGGCGAGGTGGGGGGCGTCACTCGCAGAGCCAGTCGCAGGGCAGCCGCGGCATCTTGTTGGCGGGCCAGGGCAGGTAGCCGGCGGACTTGAAGACCCAGTAGTCGTAGCTGACCTTGGCGACGAGCAGCGCCAGCACGAGCGCCTCCAGCGCGATGATGTAGTAGATGTAGTCGGTCCAGTCGCGCGGCGCGTGGCACACGTCGGCCTCGCGCAGCTCCGCCACCGGGCCGCCGCGGCCGGCGCACTGCAGCGCGCGGTAGTCCGGGATGTTGCGGAAGTTCTCCAGCAGCCACGGCTGGAACGCACCGAATACAAACCATACAAACGTCTCTATTTAAATATATACTGTTAAGAATAAAATTAGTACCGTTCTCTAGAATTGGCGCAACTCTAGATTATCGGCATAAACGTTGACGAAAAAACGATTGGCGCGCATCCAGAGTCCTGGCGAGGAGTGTTGCTTTGAGTTTAAAGCGACAGTATCAATTAAATAAGTTGTCTAAAAATACTAATACGATAAATCGTAAACACACACTATTTTGTGGCGTAGTATGTCAGCTATCACAGCATATTTTGAACATTTATTTCTTTATTAAAAAATTACTTACGACACGCTTTAGACTATTTATTTTTACTCTATTAAACTTAGGAGGAACTCAAAAAAAACTTAATGTGGAAAAGAGACCATAAACTTCAAGCTGCCAACATTAAGAAAGCAAAGTTATCATGGTAACGGGAATTGTTTTCCAATGTCAGGGCCTTTTGTCGTGATATGTGCATTTGAATTTTGACAAATGTAAACAATATAATGAAGCCTGTATAATTTCATGCAGATGAAGCCGCACAGGAACAACGAATTAAAAATAAAAATGGTCCTTCGAGCATACCTTTAGAACTTTTTCTGTGTTACAATCGCAGTGTATGTAGTTGCCGCCGATAGAGAAGGCGGTGAAGATGCCGGTCGTGTCGAACTTGTTGGACAGCACGTATGTATGGATCTAAACATAAAACAACTTATAAGTCTTACGTAATACAAAACATGCACTTTTTTCTATGGGAAAATATACCGTTTTGAGTTTGTTGTGACTGATGGAGAAGTACATAAAGTTGTCGATGAACTTGGAGCCCTCTAACTCGACGATGTTGTCGATGTCGTTGTAGTCGACGATGAGCTGGCGCAGGTGGTCGTAGGTGGAGTCGTCGCTGACCGCCTGCAGCGACGTTATCTGCACACACCACACTGTCTAATTGTATACTTAAATACAAGGAGTAAAAACTAAAAGTGGAAAAGAAAAGAACACAGTTTAACAATGGTAAAGCCCGCTTTAACAGCTTCGCACGAATGTGCCGGCTTGCCCCCAGCAATATCACGACTACACAGAATACAGGGAAGTGAGAGTAATTCCGCTTACAGTCTGAGGAGTGTGATACCGGCCCAACTTTAGTCTCTTTTCCTTTCCATCCTTTTCTTAAGAGGGAAGGATAGAAAGGGAACGTGGATTTGACGGTGGAGAAGACGAACAGGAAGGGGAAATGTCCTCTTTGTGTGCATCTCCTCCGTCGCTTAAGGGTAGGCAACGCATCTGCAATTGCGAGTGTCTATGGGCAGCGGTGGTCGCATCGCATTTTGTCGGATACAGGTTGCCGCTGGCTCGTTTGCCACCTTGTGACATAAAAAGTTGCAAAGTGGGCGGAGTTATCTTATATAGCGGCGGGGTTATCTTGTGCGGGGCGGTGGAAGGTACATCGGCAGACTGACGTTGTTGTAGGAGACGTTGAGTTTGACGGTGTTGGGCGGCAGGTTGGCGGGCAGCTGCGTGAGGCGGCGGCGCGAGCAGTCCACGGCCACCAGGTTGGTGACGCCGGCGCTGAGCAGCTCCAGGCGCTCCGGCACGCAGGTGCAGTTGATGCCCGCGGGCGTTATGTTGCGGCAGCTGATGTTCAGCTGCAACAAACAACAACGCTGTTTCAACACAACAAACAAACAACCGATTTATTCTCAATGAGCGTCGGTGGCTCAGGAGTTTAAGCACTTTACTTCTAATCTACAGGTCCTGGGTTCGAATCCTGCCATGTACCAATGTAAATTTCATATGCACATAATTTACCCGACGTTCTTAGGGTGAAATAAAACATCGTAATGCAACCTGCAAATATTAGCGAAGAAATTGAAAGATATGTGTGAAGTCAACCCACAGTGGGGTTACGTGGTTGACAAAAGCTTCCAGCCCCTCAGTGGGGACGTATAGTGCTGGTGATGTTGGGTAATTCTCAAGTAATATATTAAAGCAATAAAAAGTATTGTATTACCTCAGTCTGTATGCGCAGATGGTCGATCTGTACAATTCTAACGTCCTTGAACCAGTTGAAGACGAGGTCGAGGGCGCAGTAAGTTTCCTTGTAATTGAGGAATGTCACCAGCGAACTGTTGTTGTTGTTGTTCGCCTCCATCGCCTTCTGGAAGTGCTTGCACGGCAGGTAGTTGTTACCTGTATAAACAAGTACTTCTTTGACCACTACTCTTCAGAAACAACTTTAATGTACATATATTACGAGTAATTATGTTAAGAAGAAAATCAGTAGATACTGATTTGGAGGATTGGCCCAACACTAGATCAATGGCATAGACGTCTCATCCCTAGCTGACAGCTGTCAATGTCATAGAGACGTATTAGAAAAGCGCGCCATTGTAGCGGGATCAGTAGCTCCGAGGGTTTAATTACACTAGTTACAATTATATGAATAGCGTAAAAGTATCTTGCTGCATATGTAGTACTAACCGGAGAGGTCGACGGATATCTTGCGGTTGCTCTGCACGAGGCTGAGCGGGAACTCTGTGAGGTTGTTGGCGGAGGCATCGAGAACTGTCAAGTTGAAGAGGTACGCGAACGGCCGTTGGATAGACGGCTGCAGTTTGGCCGTCGTCAGGTTGTTGTTGGAGATGTTCAGGCATGCGATCGGCGAGTACTTTGGAAACTGACCTAAGCAAGAAAGTCCTAGTTAAAGTAATGTTCAGGATAATAACATTATTTCTTGTGATGTAAACATGATTACCCATAGAATAATGATGGTGACGATAAGTATATGCTTCAATTAGTTTGAGATATTACGCTGATTGAACCACATATAAATACAGTCATATTTTTACAGTGAGAAATACAAAGTAAATGATGAACACAGGATATAAAACATTCATCTCTGTACTCACTGCTGTCATTGTTCCTTTTTTCTTCCTTAACAACATCCTCGGCTTTAGCATGAATAGACAAAGAGCAACATTACTGATAGCTATATCTAACATGAACAAAACACGGAAATGTTACACCCACGTTCAATAAACTGCATTGGATAATAATTATCTGAACAACAAGTTTAATGCGTCAATTAATTTCCATGTCAAGTGTTATTAAATAATATAGAATAAAGAAAATGTTTCTAATTACTAAAATTCGCATTTTTATTTTTGTCTTCATCCAAACTTTAACTCTAATTGTCTCGATCTTAACATCTCCAATTCATAACGAATTCGTGTTGCGATGTACATAATTCGAAATGCGAAAGTACACAGAAGACCATTAGCTTGTATACTATTTTCAGCTTTAAAACAAGAGGTATAAGTGTTATAATGCACTGACCAACAATCTTGCCGATGTTGCCGTCGGTGAAGGCCATGGAGGCGAGGCGGCGGAACACCGCCTGCGACACGTCCAACTCCTCGATGCTCGCGTTCAGCACGTGCAGGTTCGTTGTATTCGGCATCACTGGAACAAACGTGAAATTAGGGCTGCCAACTCTACTGGTTTGACTAAAAGAACTAAACGTAGGGAACATCATTTTTTACCGCTAACTTCTATGTACGGTAATATCTCAAGTCTAATGTGACACCTCGAGATGTGTTTTTTGTGATTTTAAACCGTCATCAGGTAGTGTTAGTGAGATTACGTGTTAAATGTTTCAAGTATCAACTATGCCTCCTTTATATTTGAATCTCTTTGCGTTTGGCGTAAATTTTAAAACATTAAATGAATAAGGAATCAATTTTTTTAGTTTAGACTTGACCGGGATATTTACATGTAAAATATTTGAGAGTCTTTATAGTTGTATTGTCTATCAGTTAACATATGCATTATTCGCGGTAAGTTATGCGGGCTGCGGGCCGGCCATTGTGCGCCAGCTCTGCGCACCTCAAGGTCGCGATACGGTCACCGCCTCTGCCTCTAGCAACAGGACAATGTTGCTAACTGGATTTAAAACAGGATAAACTAAGATGGATATTTATAAATACAAAAAAATGTCGTGTAGATTTTGGTATAGTTACCTTAATTATTTTTAAGTAATTAGCAGAAAAATAAGCCCAGATTTTTTTAATATATTTTTATACAGTGCCGTTCTCCTCAATCAATCGACTTGTTATTTAGGCGTATACCCGGAAGCATAATCATGATTTGTACAGATATATTTAAAAGTCAATATATTAACTATCTGTAGCTTGCGCCTTCGCCCTCGAAAAATTAAAAAAATATAGCCTACTAGCTTTCGCCCGCGTCTCAGTCCGTGTGATATTAAAAAAAAAAGTTAGTAACCTATGTGTTCTTCCAGACTATTCTCTCCGTCTAATCCAAACTTTCGCACTTTTAATGACATCAACATTCTCATATGCTTTTTCCACTAATTGCAGAGATATGTGACAATAACATAAGTTTAGTCACTCACTAACAATGGCGAGAGCCTCCTTGAGGCGGAAGCTATCCACATCGCAGCAGAAGACGGATGCAGGGTCTGTTCGCGCGCACTTAGCGGTGGTCGGGCAGCGCTCTCGCGGCATGTGGTAACATTTGCCGTGTTTTAGTTCTGGCCGCGGAGGTGCTGGTGCGGGCGGCGGCGCTGGCGGCTGGCAAACAGAAAATAATAATGGTTTTTATAGTAAGGAGATGCAAGCGGCCATAAGAGTCGATAGATATAGGCAAAAAGATAGCAGATGAGTTGACTTTAGTGTGGAGATGTGCTATTGACAATATTTTTAGTACAGTACAGCTGACGCAGAATTTAATTATTACCAATTATAATAATATTTTAAAACTCATTTATTTCAAGGTTTCTGAGGTGAAGGCACATAAATAGGTTTTTCCTAGAAGTAAATTTTTTATAACACAAACTTCATTGCCTTATTTTCAACACACTGTAACATATAACATTTAAGTATACCTCATTGTACTTGACCGCCGGCTGCTCCAAGTCGTCGACTCTCATCTCGATGCAGGGCACGTGGCAGGCCAGGTATGCAGCCAGGCACCACAGCGCCATCTGAACACAAAAATATATAACTACTAGCTTTTGCCCGCGATCCGCGCGGAATTAAAAGAAAATTGTAGCCTGCGTATTCTTCCAGACTGTACAAAATTTCATCGATATGCATCCATCAAAACTTTGAGCAAAAAAAAACAACCTACAAATTCAGGTTGTATCTGTTAATTGCGCATTTAGTTCCCTGTTCCAAAATAGGTCGTTAACTTATCATTGACAATCTGATTTCTTTCTAGATTTTCCTCATTCCAATATTTGGTTAAAGCAAACCCGGATGCCGATAACTGCAATATAAACTAACATTATAAGAATGTATCATAATTACATAAATGTTAATATATTGATCGCAATTAATAGCGATAATCGATTTGTTACAGGAAAATGGAAAAACACTACAAATGTGAATCCCATAAATCACGTGTTTATATGTTTAAAATATACGCGCGCACACCTTTAACTAACTGCTATACAACTAGTCTCGCTTTGATTCCATTTTTTTTTTGTTATCGGGGGGGAAATCTTCAAAAGATACCTTGCCTTCTGGGGGGAAGGCGGGGTTATATAAGATTTGACCTACTAAAACTCCCCCGGTGGCCATCCTCTAGTGACATTGACGAAGGTTCCAGGATCAAGGAACACACCGGAACCTTCGGCACTCAAACTCTCCCTGTGGTTCCACAATGTTACGGCAACAAAGGAACACTCTAGATTCGCTTTGATTCCTATGAGCGTATTTGGAGGTGCAATACTCGATTGTTAGTTGTGCAACTAAACAGTTGAATTGGCTGCGAAACAATCGACAATCGCATAGATTAATCAAAGGTCGCCAGCTCTAAGAAATTCCTAACTCTATTCAATTAAAAAACTATTAACAGCGCAGCGAAACCGGTTTGTTATTTATACAAATATTTAGGTAAATCATAAAATGCAATCTAATGTAAGGTTTACAATAAGTTGTAGTGGAAGTGCGCGGGTGCCGCAAGGTCGTATCGCAGTTAGGGGCCGCTTCCACTGATGCGAATACACGTGCACGGTACACCAATTATTACTAAAGTTTTTTTTTTATTTTGACACTTTTGTAATCAGAAAAATGTCTACGGTAAACCATATTTGAAAGAAGATTGACAAACATTTACAGCCTTGCAAATAAACAAAGTTAAACTTAGTAATAAACTCAGTGTAAGAAAAAATTGTACTAAGAGATTTCATATTTTTTAAATATGAATTGTAAAATATTTGTATTGCAGTGGTAACGCACCTTTAATGTAATTAAGTAGAGCAATGCAAAAACGTATTTTAATTTATTTAAATCACTACGCGCGATATCTCATAAAGGTATGGATACACTGTGCACAGGTAAAAACGCCTTATATTTTATACCTGCGCTGATACACTGTAAGGGAATGGAACCAGCCGGTTTGACGATGCTAGAATAGACCTTGTTGCGATTTTTTCACATTTACGCTTAAAATTATATAATTCCACGCAACAGTAGACCAGTCAATAAATCTGACCTCATCTATAGAGAAAGGGTTCCACGCAAAAGTATGAATCATGTTAAAATCATACTTTTAATTTAAAACAATTTAAACAACAAATCACGAAAAAAAAAAAACCATTTAATCTTTATTTGATTCTTCTTTCTGTATCACTTTATGAAGTAATTCTGTTGTCCGTTTTTACGCAGAGTTATGTGTGGTTCTTAGTTTGGGCTTACGTAGTAATTTTACGTTAACCGCTTGCACGTTTTACTTTTAACTAGCTTTCGACCGCGACTCCATTCGCGTGTAAGAAAAAAAATGAAAGTGAGTAGCCTATGTGTTCTTCCAGACTATCCTCTACATCCATACCAAATTTCATCGAAATCCGTTCAGCCGTTTAAGCTACAAACTCTACCAAACATCCATCTATCCATCCATCCATCTAAACTTTCGCATTTATAATATTAAGTATGAAGTATGACATGATTTGAATAATATTCAAGTCGTCATAGTAACGGTGTACACTCACCCTTAGAAACTAATTTAGTAACAACAGACTGAGCGGCGGGCGCAATACCTTTGTCATTTATGTTTGCAATAATCGGTCTGCGCTTTGTCCATATTGCTATTTTACTACGAAATGGTTTCAAATTGAAACAATAAATATTAATTGATCGACAATATGGACTAGGAAAAAAAATCTTTAGTAGGCAATTTATAACCTAACTTTTTTCTAGGATGTTGAAAAAATTGAAGCGCGTAAATTTAAATTCTAACCTAAAAGCTGCAGCTCGTAAAACAAATATCTCTAAACCACAAAGTTAGAAGAATACTAGCCGTTGCTCGCGACTTCGTCTGCATGGGATTTAAAACTTAGTGATAACGTAGCTTTTTATTGGTAACAGATTTTTTGAAATCGGCTTAGTAATTTTTGAGTTATTATACAAAAAATACATACAAAAATATAAATCTTACCTCTTTATAATATTAGTATAGATTATGTAATGTTTTAAATTAGTATTCGTTCTAAGAATTTGATATTACGTCAAACATAAGAGGAAAAGAGCTCTTGTGACTAACGAGAGAAGCTATCCTACAAGAATACATCGTTCACTACACTAAAGAATCAATAAGTTGTCTTGTATTCAATCCATTCATCATATGTTCACCATCATCAGTCTTTATCTGCCCACTGTTGCACATATGCCTTCACAGTACCATCATTAGTTGAGCTAGTTATTTTCTTTGTAATAACTTCAACAGAAGAGTAAAATAATCTAATGGACACGTCGTACACAAACATAATTACCATATAATAAAACTGTAATTATATTAATTTGTTATTTAACATAATAAAATAAACTAAACAGCAAATTTATCGGACACTATTAAAGTTAATACATGAATCAAGTACTAGAAATAAACAAAGGTTGTTTACTAACATAGATATGTGTTAAATGCAGGTTCAACGGCCGATGTGTGGATAGTGGATAGGCAAACAGCAAACCAGTTACGAGAAACTACGGCCTAACGAGGTCGCCACTGAACGACTGCTCGCCCGAGCCGCACGCATCTAAACATTTTCTATTTTCTTATGAAACCAGTAAACTATACTAGGAGTAAATGTTTCGGAGCTGTGTACAGTATAAGTATAACCCAAAGATAATGGGAAAAGGCAGAGAAAGAGTAAGAACAGAAGCAGTTATGTATATCTTTAGGAGCAAAAACAAACATATTATAATGAACTAGCTGTTCCCGTCCAACTTCATCCACATGAAAATATAAAAACTTTATTTTATTGTTTGTATTTTTCAAATTCTCAATAGCAAATGTCAAAATTACCGTTACGAAAATAATCTTGCTTTCAAATGTTGTCAGGTTGTAGTTTATGATCTTTTTCCAATTTATTTACCTCCTAAGTTTAGTAGCGTGAAAATATATAGCCTAAAGCGTGACGTAAGTGTACGGCTTTTTATTTTAAAAATAATTATTTAAAAATATGGTGTGATTGGACATCTTAGGCAACAAAGAAGTGTGTGTTTACGCTTTATTATAATAATATAGATAGGTCTCTTCTTAATGAACTGTGTTATCACCACCCCCTTATCTGTTTGACCTACACACACATTAACTTTGTATTGACATTGCGTAGTTGTGTAATTTATCGAAGTCTATAGCTATTTAGCATTAAAACTATTTAGTTTAAATGTAAACCTTAACTGAAAACTACAACAAAACAAGTCGGTCAAAAACGTTTGCAAATTAAAAAGATTATATCGGGAAATCTTCACGAAATCTTGCAAATGTTTCATTTAATTTTTACATTTCTGTAGTGTAACTAGTAGTCATAGGCTTCATTTTTAAAACTTTCACTTATCTGTTTATCTACTTTCTTTCTTTTCGATTGTCAATTGTTTTTCAGTTACTTATTTCAAAGTCTTTACTGGCTTATACATTTAAAATCCAACGATTCTCGTGGTATTTCAAAATTACGAATGTTATGAAACATTAACTGTTGCTCGCGACTTCGTCCGCGTGAAATTAAAATTAGCAATACAGTCTATGTTACTTACAGGTTAATTACCTTTCTAATGGTGAAAGAGTTTTTGAAATCCACCCAGTAGTTTTTACGTGAATCGAATACATATAAAAATACAAATATTTCCTCTTTATAACATTTGTATAGATTACTCACGGATAAATTACCTTTCTAATGGTGAAATCCATCATCTTTCGGTTTTTGTCCCCCGCATAACTCTATCATACGTCATCTCAGTGATCACTCCCTTTTCGTTCATGTCACCTTTTACGCAATCCATTCATCTCTTTCTAATGGTGAAAGAATTTTAAAAATCAATACAGTAGTTTTGGCTTGAATCAAATACATACAAAAATTCAAATCTTTCCTCTTTATAGTATGGATTAAAAATAATCCGAAGGCCTCAATGGTCGTGACCACAGTACGTCGTGCAGTTATAGTATCGTTTAACTGAAACCTCTACATCGTCTATCTCACTCACATTTATTGCACAATATTGAATACTTTGATGTTCACTCGATGTAATAAATCGCATAATTTAATTACATTAGTCCGCGCGGAATTTAAAAAAAACAAGGTGAGTAGCCTTTGTGTTCTCCCAGACTATACATCTCTTCTATCTACCAAATTCTATCGAAATCCGTTCAGCCTTTAAGGCTACAAACTCTAACAAACATCCATCTAAACTTTCGCATTTATAATATTAGTATGATTAGTAGACCAGATTCTACATAAAATGTTTGATCTAAAACAGAAAAGGCGTGTCTATAACAATTTAAGGTGCATAGCTTTACAGCGCCAAAACCAAAGTTCCCCATAATGACCTTATTTGATAATCAAATGATATTTATTTTTAAAACGGACGTTCCTTGAGGTCAAGTCGTAAGCGGTGACGTATCTCTAAGAAAGGATGCTGTGTATTGGATAATTGGAGCCGCAACGGAACTGAGACTCGCTCTGTCTCACTGTTTTATTGAGTG